GAAAAGACAGACAGATGGATGGACAAACAGTGGAAATTTATAATAAACAGCATGCTTTGCATATACATGAAGATTCAACACATCTTCATTTACAAGAAACAAATGTCTGATATTTTGTCTGATAAAACATTTTAGGTTCAAAATTTCCTTATCAAATTTACTTTTGTATTTTATTAAACATGTTTTAATAATTTACATTTGTGGCTTCTTTGAAATGTTCTGTGGCCCCAAAGGTGCAACACAATCCCCAGCTGAGAAACACTGATCTAAATAATGATTGTATCAGCAATGTAATTTGATCAAAATTTGATTGACCTGATCACAATCAATACTCAAAAATAGTAGACAGGTTCATGGAATGCAAAATTATACATACAGTGTATTAAAATATATAAATAAATATTTATTTATATGTATACATACTAGCAGATGAGCCTAGCATTGCTCAGACAAAAAGTAACGATAGTGAAGATTAAGATTACAGTAGAGCATTGATTATCCGACTCAATTGGGGACTGGGGTTGGTCAGATAATTGAAAAGTCGGATAACCGAAAAGTATAAAAAAATCCATTATTAGTGTAGTATATTAGTATATCGCTATTAACCTACTTCGCGTTGAATTTTCCTTTATGTTAAGCCTATCAAATTTTTTTAAAAAATAATAATCGTTGCTATTGTATCGTTAAAAATTAGAAAATTAAGCCTCGTTTAAATACTGGCTCCTTTTCATGGTCGATCCAGTGTTGCCAGCTAAAACACACAAAAATAATATTAAAGTAGCCAAGACATAGCCAAATATTGTAGCGCCACATACTAGTGGACATTTGAATTTGCCGACTAGAACGCGGTCAGTTAACCGAGGTGATGGTTAATCAGGAGTCGGATAATCAATGCTCTACTGTATTAGATAATAGTTGACCTTACTCATTTTCACTGAATGCAAGAATTAGGTCCCCCTCTTCTGAGACTAATTAGAGAATTTTTAGATGGATCTAAAAATATGTTCGATTTTCTGCAAAAATGCAAAATAATGCATCTAAAATAGTACAGCAGAAGCTGAGTACTTTAGGGTAATTCTTAACACTCTCCTTTTCCCATAAGGGAATTTCAAAAAAATCCCTTCTTAGTGTGCATTATCATGACATACACTAACTGTGTACCAAATTTCAACTTTAACTCCTAACTGTTTGGGCTTTGCATGTTTATTATTATTATTATGTTGAGTTTTGTGAGTTATACTCGGTTCATACCGATGGCTGTTTACCTTAAGTTGAAAATTACCCCAAGTTGAAAAGTGTAGAAAAACATGTTAAAGACTACTATTTTCCAAAAATATTTTGGAAAATAGCAGTCTTTAACATGTTTTTCTACACTTTTCAACTTGGGGTAAATTTTTACAGCACCATTATTCCCCAGGATTTATTCAAAGACCAGGATTTCATTGAGGAAACATGTTTGTACAACACTGTTTCTAGTCAAATTTATGCTGTATTTTATATTTGTATGTTCTTACATAAGTATAACAACATGACTTTCCATGAATATTCTTTATTTATTTAATCATTTTAAAATAATTTTTATGTTTTGGTAATATCACTAATTCCCTACCATTCATGATAAACAACAGTATTATAAATGTGTTTTTGAGTACTGGCATTCATAAAAACACAATTTTACAAGATATTTATAAAAACAATGTCAAAATGTAGAAAAGTGTACTAATCCTTCTGAAATGAAATAATCATTTCAGAAAGATTAGTCTGCTTTGTTAATTAAAAAACAATAATTTAAAATTAAACTTAAACAATCAATAACTTTTTAAAAATTCTGAAAATTTTTGCATGTAGGTCAAACAATTTTTGCTATTTCAATGACAAATAAAATGCATTAAAAACAGTTTCTGTAATTAACATTTATAATTTCTAGTTTACTTTCCACGAAAATTTTTATATCAATCATAATTCAATTATATTATTTACTGCTAGAGATTAAACTAATTCTATAACATAAAATATTTGGCAAAATTTTTTAAAATATCAATAATTTGATAAGTTTCTCTAAATAAATGTAAACTAAAATAAAAGTAAGATAAAAGACAACACACAATCAAATCTAATTAAGTCATTATTATTGGATATATCAAACTTACTCTTATTTCCCTTAAAATTTGTATTTAAATGAATAGTAAAAAATATAGCCATCTATAGTCCATGCAGTGAAAGAGTAGACACCAGTCAGCCTAAGGTGGATGAGTCTATGTCAGATGGAAGGGATGGAAAGAGATATGTGAGAATCAACATGTTTCCTTCCACTCCTTTCATCTGACATTGACCCTTTCCCTTCAGACTGACTTATGTGTACTCTTTTACTGCATGAACTATAGTAATTCAAATTCTTTTTTAATTTTTAAATTTACTCTGAGCTATAAACTATTTTCATTTTTGTCATTGCAATATATTTAAAAATTTCCTTATTTTACTATTTTTATGCACATTTTGTTCCAGAAAACATTCAATCTCTATTTTACTTATTTGTAGTGCCAAATTAAACTGAACATTTTAAGTTGAAAAAATACAATTCTGTTCTATTTTATAATTGGCAGAACAGAATGTTTGTTCAATATAAAATAACCATTCTGTTCTAGGTTCCAAAATTTTTCCCCTACAATTTTAAATGACTTGCAAATGTTTATGAAAATTTAAAGTGAAAATAAACTTAAACAGTATTTCAAAAATTATTGTTTTCATCTTTATAAAAGAAAATGGTTATATGACATGACATATTTCAGACATAAATTTATTATTATTATATTTTATAATCTGGTCTCTTATTAAACATGCTTGAGATGATTTGGGTAAGCATGTTACTATCCTTTAACTTTCTCTAAAATATATTTATTTTTATATTTTGAAATACATATGTTACCAACAAAGTATGAAATTCAGGCATTATGTAGAATGCTGAAAACAGTTGGAAAAGTGTGAAAAAAAAAAAAAAAATACATTTAGATATTCTGCCTACACATTCTATAGAATACTGGATACTCAGAGGCTGGCAAAGTATAAAATAAACAGTGTACATCTTCTCCCATCTTGTAATCAATATTAAATTGATTTTATAAATCATTTTTACAATTTCTGTAAATCAACTTTTTAAAGAATCATTTAAACATTTATAAATACCATTTTTATAAATGTTCCTTAAAGCTTTCAGTTAGTTATAAATATTTTCAATTTAAAATAATTTTAAAAATTGGCTAATTATTGGCTAGTTTCATATCTATTTGAAATTTCATTGTTAAAATAAAGAAACAGTCTTCATCCACAAAAGATGGTTATTTGTGTATTTGTTATATAATGTGTACACAGGTACACATATCTTATCAGTGGTAAGAAAAAAGTTTACCCACTAAAAGAAGAGAAAAAACATTTACATTTTTACAGAAACAGTGTAATAAACTTTTAGCAAGATTCTGTCAAGAATTGGATACAGGTATACCTCGACTTACGTCGTTTCGAGTTACGTCATTCCCGATCATACATCGTTTGTCAAAAAAGTATATGGGAAAATAAAAATCAAGTTTAAGTCATTTTATTCGACTTTACGTCTGTCCGCCACAAATATTGAAGTCATAATATCACTAGAAAACCATTTAAAGCACATAAAATCATATTAAAATATATACATTTACAGTACATGTATTCGTAAATTTAGATTACTTTTTTCTGTACTATATTAAAAACTAAAATTTATTTGTTTGTAAGCTTAAAATAGATCCTTATTAACCATATATTATTAAAAATGCATTAATAAATAAAATACAGAACCGGNCAGAAATGCCAGTAACAAATTGTTCAATATGTAAGTGGGAAATATAGATATTAGCTATATATCCTCTTGTATACTTCATTTTAATGCCTGTACAGATAAATAAAAAATTAAAATATATTACATGATACATTACCATTGGATTTACAAACATAGAACAAAAGTTCATGCATAATCTAGCTCTGTATACTCACTCATTTTGTTGGAGATTACACACTGGGTTTATTGCCTAAATAGGTTTTTAAATAATCAATCACAAGATAAGGGATTATTGTTCTATACACTGTATATGTGTAAATCATTAAAGTTGGGACAGAAAAGCAAGTGTTAAAAAGTACAAAACCAAAATTATTTTATTGAAGCTTTTCATACAAAAAGTGTGATGCAAAAATTAGGATTCAACATGTTACCATGTTATAACACTACAATCTATTGAATCTTAAATACATACCTTTGTTTTATGTTTTTTAATTTATATTTTCATTATTAATTCTATAAGATTTTGCTTTGTGTTCTACTTTATTTTTTCTTTTCTATCAATACCAAAATTATTTACATTTATAATAATTTTCAAGAGACATTTTTAACATTTAATCTACAAAAAATAGTAGTGTAGAAAACATCAATAATTCATAGTAATTAATACATTCAAATTCTGTATTATATTCTAATAAGTAATATTATTTAATTAATATTACTAACAGTTACATTTTTTATCCTCACATAAATTCATTAACATAAAGATATGTAATTTACATATCTAAATAGAATATAGAAAAAAACACTTCTACCAATAGAAATGCATTTCCCTTTCATTCATTCCATTTCACTTTCATTTTAATTACAGAAATTTCTATATTTTTTTCATCGAATAGATACACACAATATTTATCTTACTTTATTAATAATATTAAAAACTTTAATAATTACTGTAATTACTTAAATTAATACTTGATGTATTAACTGTTATATAAATATATATGTGAAATATGTAAAAATTTATAATATATTTATTGAAAACCAATTTTAAATACTGTTTTAATAATGAAAAGATATGAATTTTAAATGACATTACACAAATTAGAATGAATATATTAATAAAGCATTATTATTTTGTTATATCAAATGCAGATTGTTAATGTGATAGACAGATGTTTAATAAAAATCTTACCTTTAGCTCCTGCATAAAAAAATACAACCACATATTAATGTAACAGACTCATCGATTGTATTGACATACTGAACTTTTCAATTCTTACAAATATTAAACCAAAACATTGCTTTTAGGCTTAAATGAATGATCGAGTCATTTCTTCATTCATCAAACATCTCCATTTTCAGTTTTCTTAATACTTCCTCTAGTATTTTTAATAATTCCTACGCTAATATAAACTACACATTCAAATGTGTAATTTTATAATATATATAATTATAGTGTTAACCTTTCTTCTTATTCGCCATTTTACTATTTGCCAATCTTCGGCTTCTTCTAATCGGCACCAGATGGCGACTATTTTGTTCTCTGTAATGATGAAATCCTCATTGGTTGATTGATATCACGTGACACAACAGCTGTATCACGTGGCTGTAAATTCAAATTTTTGTTTATGGATACGTTATGAACAGAATTGCGTTTTGTAATTATATCGTGGGTTTAAAAAATCTATTCGGCATTTACGTAGTAGATACTATATACCATGCTGAGTAAAAATACCTTAGTAAACATTATTAAAACCAAACTGTTTATGAAGTATTAACAGTTTTGTGTTTAGTACCATGATTGATTGCCTACGATTGCATGCGACGTGAAAAGAGAGTTATATTTATAGTTATTCCACGTGTGTATCTTCCATATTCACGCGCGACGAGCATTTTTCTTTCTTTCATAGTCTTTAACTCTCAAAAATTCTAGGTCTTCGTCAGATTATTTATCCCAGAAATAGATTAAGTTTGACTTGTTTCTTTTACTCGGTATGGTGTATGCTATCTACCATTTAAATGCTAGATGCGTTTTTTAACACCCTGTAGAAATATAGTAATTGTTAGTTTTTAATATAGTTTACCAAAATTAATTAATAGTATTTGATAAAGTACATTTACTATATTTCTTCTATTAATTTTGATTTCAAGAAAACATTCAGATGGTTAATTTATATCGTATGTATTAGGGTTTCTGAAACGGGATTCCGGGATCCCGGTTGTTTTTTTAACCCGGGAAATATTCCGGGAAATTTTTCTTATCCCGGGAAATCCCGCAAATTTCTTAAAAATTCACTTTTTTTCTTATTTTGTGTTAAGGTTGAGGA